TTTGTAGTAGAGTGCTTTGTTGTTCGATAAGCTAGTAATACTGAAGGTAGAATTTCATCCCATTCCTTGTATTTGTACAGTGCATGACTCTTAAAGGCTACACAAATTTTAAAGGCTTATAACTTTTAATCTAAAAATAATACAAAAAAAAAAAAGCTGCCAATTTGTAGCTAAACTAATTTACTATAACTTGGTGGCTTTATTTTTTAAAAAGTTATTGTACTTTGTAAAGTTATATAGTTTTAAAAACATAGTATTTTTATATGAAATCTATAAAATCAGTTAAAAATGTGACAAATGCATCGACCAATCAAATTAGTCATGCATATAAAAAAAAAAAAAAAATCTACATACTGTAGATAATTTTGTGCATGACACTATATAAGTAAGAAACAAGTCTGTGTGGTCTGATAAGAATACAAAAACTACTTGTGTTTGTGTATAGCTCTGTGAGAAACCATATACCTAATATGAACAACTCTGTGTTAAAGAATATACGTACAGAAAGAACCTGCAAGTGAAACATATTTCTTAACATCATTTGAACAAGTATGGTGAAAAGAAAAAAAAATTATAATGACCTTAAGGAATACAATAAATAGAGAAAGGAACTAGCTGAAAAAAAGAGAAATAAAGAAGAGGAATTCGAAGAGGTTGAAGAAGGAAAGGAATTTGAAGTGCAGATTTTAGAGGAGAATAGTAAACTTGACAGAGAAGTGGAATATGAAGAAGAGATCAATTATGATGATGAAAAAATACGTGAATGGTTACTTACCATAGTTCCAATACAGGAGAAGGAAGAAAAAAAAGTACGAATTATTAAAGAATTACTGAAGACGACTTATTATTACAAGTTCGGTGCTTCTAGTATCCTTACTAATGCTACTAAGGAAACTCGCAAAATTACAAGTTTTTATGGGACCATAAAGTTAGTTGATAAAGATTTTATTATTGATGATTAATTTACTACTTGTTTGTTAGTTGTTAATACTAACAAAAAAAAAATAAAAATAAAAAAAAAAAAAAAATTTTTTTTGAACAAG